GCGCCTGCTCCTGCTCCTGCTGTTGCTGCTGCTGCTGAAGAAGGAGCTGTCTTGCCACCTGCAGTGCCTGGAGAGACACACGGAAGAAAACCAGTCGCGTCACTACACAGGTTCAGAGGCTCCTGCCCACGGAGGACTCCACGGATGGCACTTCTGAGCTGGATCCTGCTGTTCCCACATTTCCTCACAAATGAAACAGCAATCAAAACTCCCAAGCAGTCTCAGTTGGGAAACTTTCCAGAATTTGTTTACATTTTCTTTGATTTTGGCTAATCTCAACCATGATTCTTCAGACATAGCAATTTATCTAGACAGTTTATTCCTCCCGAAACTCTGCTGTAACTCTGTTACACTGTTGGCAGGTATATCGCTGGGACAGCCATTATAGACAACCTCCATATAGAACATGTGTAGGATCCAGCAATCCCACAAGCCCAAAGGAAAGTAAACCAGTGTATTACAAGGACATGTGCACTCTCCTCAACAGCCAAATCATGTGTAAGTGATGAATGGATAAGGACGGTGTAGTGTGCATACACACACACACACACACACACACACACACACAAATGGAATACTATTCAGCCATTAAAAAGGATGAAATCCTGTCATTTGATGCTAAAAGAGTGAGCCTGGAAGATCTTATGTTAAGTGAAAAAAGTCAGATACAGAAAGACAAAACCACATGGTCTCCCCTCATATGTGGAAATTTTAAAAATGGACTCTCAGAGACAGAGGAATGAGGAATGATGGCTAGAGGCTGGGAAGGATCGGGTAGGCTGGGGGGACAGAGAGATGCTGATTAGCAGAAATAAAATTGCACAATGTCTAGTGCTACAGAGTAGACAGAAAAGAGAGAGCAATGACTTGCCATATAACTTAAAGTATCTAAAAGAAAGGATTTTGAATGTTTCCAACACGAGTAATGGCAAATGGGTACGGATGCGGAGAAAGTATTCTGAATAAATCAGCACACAGTGATGTACAAGGCTTGTGTGGTAACAAAGAACTTGCCATAAAACCTGGGAGGATGAAGGATTGGGACTTTGAAGAAGGATGGGCAGGAGGGCCCAGGAAGAATCAGGGCCAAGACAGAAACTTAAGAGGTAACAATGGCCCCGTTTTGGAGGCATCTACATCCCCCCCCTCCCCGACTTTCTCTTGGGGAAATGTAAGAGGTCAAGTTGAAGGTAGCATGGCTACCTTCGCTGAGCCCAAATCAAGAGCAAGAATTAAGTGCCAGACCACAAAAAGACCAAATCCTTGTGTTTTTTGTCTACTGTAAGATGAGGCTATTTGGAAATGAAAATCAAAATAGATGGGACAGGGAACCAGCAGTTAGCGTAATGGCTATGTCGCTGGACTCCCACGTAGTCGACCGCGGTTCGTGTCCCGGACCCGGTGGCTTAAAACTCACGCCGGGCACGTGTGCGTGCATGCCCAAGATCCCGAGAGGAGAATGGAGGAGAAGGGATTGCGGCGTGACCATCTCCCCTGGGGGGTGATTTCTCGCTTTCTGTCTCTATGTCTCTCTCTGTCTGTCTGGGGAGCGCATGCGCCCTACAGTGAAAATCTCTCCAAAAAAAAAAAATAGATGGGACACACAACCTCAAATCCTTTCAAAGGGTACACGATGTACTTGTGAACAAAACAGCGTCTGATACGAAGAACTGTACCCAGCTTACGATACGGGCCGGTTTTTATCTCAAGGTATAAACTGAAGAGGTGGTATGAACGAAAACAAAAGCAAGAGGAACGCCGGAGAGTCTTCCAAAGTGTTGAAAATATGACTGACCAATTATTTGGAGCAATTCCAGTAAAAAAAACTTAAAAAATGATCAATAAACCCTCATGAGGACATTCACTGTCTAAAAGGAATTAAGAACAGAATGAAGGGAACCAGCAGATGACGCAGTGGTGAGGGTGCTGGACTCCCACACAGTCGACCATAGTTTTAGTCCTGGGCAGAGGGGCTTAAAATCACACCAGGTACGTGTCCGTGCATGCCAAAATCCCAAGAGGAGGATGGAGGAGAAGGGATTGCGGTGTGGCCATCCCCCTCCCCGGGTGGGGAGGTGATTTCTTGCTTTCTGTCTCTGTCTCTCTGTCTCTCAGGTGAGCGCACGTGCCCTATAGCAAAAATCTCTAAGAAACAGAATTAAGAGCAGGATCAATGACTAGCCACAGCTTTCCGAAGAGGGCAAAAGGAGCTGACACGGGAGCCTGACATCTGCAGGCACTGTGCTGGAGAAGTCACACGGAGCTGTCACAGCGGCCAAGGACCACGAAGGGACACGTGGGAGATGTCAGGAAAGCTCGTTAAGCGACGTGCTCAGAGTTTAGTTACGAGTGAGATTTCTGGAAGAGTACATCAAAACCCATTTCTATATGGCAACCTTACAGGTGCCTTCGAGAAGAGGCACATATAGACAAATGCATCAACAAGGACCTGACTCTCGTCTTAGAAAGGAAGCACCAAGTGGCAGCCCATGCTCTGGGGGTTACAACAGCAGGATCTCACAGAGCAATTGGGTGGCTTGTGTCCTGCCCCAAAAGTTTGAGACATACACCAGGTATGCACATGCAGATCAGTGTGTGCCCCAAATCCCAAAAGGACGGAGAAATGGAGAAGGGATCAACAGGACCATGCCTTATGGTAGGGTGCTTTCTTCCTCTCCCTCTCCCCATCTCTGGAGAAGGCCTGTGCCCTCTGGAACAACATTAAAAAAATGAAGAAATGGAACATGAAGGACTTATTATGATAGTAGCGTGTTCCTTAAAGAGGAACAGATACTTCATTTAAATAAGAAAATAATGGGGGGAATAGCAGTTAGCGTAATGGCTATGTCACTGGACTCCCATGTAGTTGACGGCGGTTTGAGTCCCAGACCCGGTGGCTTAAACTCACGCCATGCATGTGTGCGTGTGTGGTCAAGATTCCGAGAAGAAAATGGAGGAGAAAGAATTATGGCATGGCCATCCTCCCCGGGGGGTGATTTCTGTCTCTCTGTCTCTGTCGAATGCACACACCCTATAGCAAAAACCTCAAAAAAAAAAAAAAAAAAAAAGAAAGAAAGAAAGAAAGAAAGAAAGGGAGGAAGGAAATAATGTGTATAGTTACAAAAAAAAGTTACAGTGACAAAGTGAAGTGGGGGGAGGTAGGATGGCTGGGTGGTTCCTGGGCAATGAAGTCAGAAGAAAGCACAGAGCAGTGGAGAGGGCTTGTCTGGGCACACACAGCTCAAACCGATCTGCAGGAGCAGACCAAGTGCCGTGAAGAGAGCCAGCTCACCCCCTGAGCTGTAACCGCACCACTGTATCCAAGAGTATTTCAGATACTTTGCAAGGTTGAGTGTTTAAGAGGCACAAAGAAACAGAAGCGCAGATAAATGGGGGACGGAGAACAGATCTTGAGCAAGTGAAGCCCTCCTATCCCACTCGCCACCGTGTCCACCCCTGCTGTCCCAGGGAGGCCTGCTGCCTACTGAACTCACACCAGCCCTACAGATGTTGAGCAGGGGCTATTTCGTCTGTGCAGGAACAGATATACATGAGCAAGGCTGCCTGCAAGAGCCTAGAGAAAAGAGGCTGTTGGAGAGGGCATCTGGAAGCCAAGACGCCTGGGAGAGTTGCCTGAGACTCCAGCCTGCTGTCTGGGTAGAGGACCCACCATCACTGGACTCCAGGTTTCCTTGTCTCCTTGGAGACGCTTGGTACATGCGTAGGTGTAAAAGTGGGCAGAGTGAAGATTTCATTTTTATCATATAAGAAAAATAGTCCCCTTTGCAAGGTGCCCGCCGGAGCAAAAGCCTCTGCTCCTACGGTCCATGTTCCCGAGCTACTTCACAGGAAGGTTGTACAGCTTTTTAATGTAGGAAATTCAGCCATGATATATTCTAAGCGATACCATGAGAGTTCCCCGAGTAGGAAAGCTGGCCAGGAAAAGATCTGGCTGCTAGTTGAAGAGGCAGACCAATAGCCTGAAGATGCCAGTGGAGAAGATAGTGGAGAAAAGACTACGAAGGGGAGGAGGAGAAAGGTCCATATAGGACCACTAAAACAGGGTAAGCCAGGTAAAACGAAGCCATAAAGACCAAACATAACAGTGTGCTTCACCAATATGGTACTCCATTTTTATTTTTCTTATGTATTTTTTAAAATCATTATTTATCCAATTTTATTTATTATTATTTTTCAATGTGATCAGAGAGACAGAGAGAGAGGGAAAGTGAAAAGGCAAGCCGCCAGATCCAGGCCTTAAACTGCGGATGGCCATGTAAGAGTCCAATGCCTTAAGTACAATGCCACGTACTGGCCAAAAGTATTCCATTTTAAAATAACCAAGTCTCGGCAAAGCTATACAGTGAACTCCTTATTTGAACAAGAGGTAAGTTACTGAGTGTCTTTAAGAAAAATATTGGGACCAGCAGTTGGCGTAATGGCTATGTCGCTGGGCTCCCCCCTGCCTCCAAGTTAACCATGGTTCGAGTCCCGGACTTGGTGGCTTAAACTCATGATGGGTGCATGTGCGTACATGTCCAAGATCCTGAGAAGAGAATGGAGGAGAAGGGATTGTGGCATGGCCATCCTCCCCGGGGGCAGTGATTTCTCTCTTTCTGTCTCTTTCTGGTGAGCGCATGCACCCTATAGCAAAAAAAAACTCCAAAAAGTATTCATATGCATAGCTATTCTCATATGATCATGCTCTTAGAAGTGAAATAAAAATCTTTTTTTCAAAAGAGAGATTTTTGCTCTAGGACATATGCACTTAATGGAGAGAGAGACAGAGACAGAGAGACAGAAAGCAAGAAATCATTCTTTAGGGAGGATGACCATGCCACAATCTCTTCTTCTCCCAGGATCTTGGACATGCACGCACGCATGCGCGCGCGCACACACACACACACACACACACACACGGTGTGAGTGTTTTTAGCTGCTGAGTATGGGACTCGAACTGCAGTCAACTATATGGAAATCTAGCAACATAAGCATTATGTCATGTGCTGGTCCCTTCAACAGAGTTTTAAAACCTCATGATTAGAATTTATAAGGTGCTTTGAAATC